CTGAAGAGCATCTGTTCAGAGAAGCAGTCTCACTTATACATTGAGCCAGCTGTGTTTATAAATTCTGCAAAGAACAGTGCTGAGACATCACAACAAGCTAGAAGGCTTCAATTAGCATTGCCACCCATTTTGCACATAGTGTGTACTCCGCTGAATGAATCCTCCAACCCCACATCTCAAAAAAATTATTTTCAAAATCTTTTGAGTCTTTTTGTTTTCTAATTATGATCCTGCCTCTCATTTGTGGCTTTTATACTACATTTTAAAGGGTCTGAATTTCCTACTTAAGTTTGGAAAACCATCAAGGATTGCTATATTTGATGAGGTTACAGCCATAGTCTGACATAGCCAAAAATTGGAATGTTTGTTCCTTAATACCTCTAGTGGATTCAGGCATGAGGGAATAACATGATGGCCTAACTAGCAATATGATTCAATACACAAATGTAAGCAATATAGATCCAATATGTCATAATTAGAAACGGTTCTGTTCTGTTCAGAGATGTGTTTCAGATAAGGCAACAAAACAAAACAAAACACAAGATCTTCAAGGTGCTAATCACTTGTAGTTTTAAGAGCTGAGAAAATATCAATTTTCCTCTATAAAAATATCCGTTTAAATTATTTAATGAATTCACTTCTATTTGTCTGTCTCAGGTGCACACAGAGTTCCAATGTACTAAATACAGTAATTTAGACTATATAGCTCAGTGAATTTGGCACTCTCCTTCTCTTAGGAAGCTTATCTTGCTTATTCTTTATATGTGCAGTTGCTCTTTTGCACTTGCTTTCAGCAAACATTTGAGCAGTCAAGCTGCACGTTAGTTATGTTTGAATATTAAGTTTGTTGTATTAGAAGATCATGACAAGGGAACCTAGAGCATGTGCATATGCATTTTTTAAACTTATGTACAAATATAAATAAATAAAATGAGTTTTACTAGAAGAATGTTTCTGGAAAGTGATTTTAAGCTTTCATGCACAAATTCTCATTTACCTTTGTACCCTCCCCAACTCCCAAGAGTCAATATTATAAAATACAGCCTCGTACTCACATCCATATCCATCATCATAATTTGTATCCCCCTATGTTCTCTCAAATCCAAGGTTTACTATTGGTCCTCATCTCTCCCTCCGCCAATTTCAAACTGGAGGCTGCCCTTTGTCAAGCAAACTTGGCCCAGGCAGAAATCTGGCCTCAAGCTCCTTTTCAACCCGTCATTCCAGAGCTACCATTTTATTCCGCCGGAGAACACCACTGCCATCTTCACTTTTTTTGCATACGCCAGACATCTCAGAGTGGAAGAATACTGGACTCCACTAACACCCACACCAACATTGTTGTGAAAAACAAATCATCTCTACTCTCAAATAAGCAAGACATTAAGTATGCTGGCAACCCCTCATCTATGTTACCCTTCCGATATACTTCAGAGCCACAAGGCAATTGAGATCCCAGTGTCCCTTCTACAAAGTTGCTACCATGCTTTGCCACCAAATTACTGACCATGCTGTATTATAAGTTTTCTTCAATTATTGAGATTTATTCAATTTCTTAAGATATAAAATGATATATATAATGATATATATGAGATATATTTCTCTCTCCAAATATATCCATTCCCAGTGCCATTTTGTATATTCACAGAGTAGCGGACAGAATAATTTTCACAGATTTATATATTTCCTTTGAACTAATATAAGCACAACTTTTATTCTGTAACATTTCACATCAATCAGTGATTATCCATTAAGGATGAGTCACGTTCAAAAATTAAACAATAAACTTTTACATTTTCCATACAGAAGCAAATTAGTAATAAAGATGAGACGGTGGAAATCATTACCAGGGGAAGAAAAAACAAGAGTGGCTTAAAATTGAGTGCTCTGTAAAATGTCACTTTAAGTATCATTTCATGCTCCCAGGCTATCTTCAATGTATTTCACTGTTACTGCTGAATTGCCAAAAGAATCCAGTTCCTACAGAAGCAGCAAAATCAGGACCACAGTTATGGAGGGGAAAAAAGGGATTTTTCCCCATCCATACTTTAAAATTGTACTCTCCTGCTTAGAGCACTGACCAAGGCAACTCAGCCTCTGATTCTCAGTGGAAGAGTATCAGAATAAGATAGGTTTCAGAGTAGCAGCCGTGTTAGTCTGTATTAGCAAAAAGAAAAGGAGTACTTGTACTAATGTTAGTCTCTAAGGTGCCACAAGTGCCTCTAAGGTGCCTTTTCTTTTTGAGAATAAGATAGTACCACAATTTTGTTACAAATTGTGGGAACTAGTTTTCCCCAAGAAAATTGTCCAATAATACATACAACATTGAATCCGGAATCAGAGGATTTACATTAGAGAAAATTGTTTTTGAGCTGCATTGAATTTTGTGACAGTGGACTCTCTCTCATGCTACTGGATAATCATCACCATTATGTTTCTTGACCTTGAACAGGCAGCATTAATGGGGACTCAGAGTAGGTCAAGAAGGCCCAGAGAAGCAACAAGAGTAATGGTATTTAGTTGCAAGAACCAAAAAACACACTCAGGACCCAACTGTGTATTCTTTAAAATACCACTGCAAGAACTAAAGCAGGATCAGAACCCAAGTCTGATCATTTTCACATACGATAACTGAACTTATCTTGAATTACTAGTGCACAGCCCTCCCACAGCTTCAATATTAGATCTGGGGGGAGATGTTTTTCCCTTCCTTTGAAAATTGCCAAGATTTCAAAAATATTTCTTATTCTGAATCAGTTGAAATCTCAAATTTTCACAACCTGACAATACAAAAAACCAACAACATAATTTGGGTCAATCAAAAGTTTGTTTACATATTTTCAAAATATTTTGTTTAAATTTCAATGTTAATTTTTTTTACTATACTTAGCTAAAATTTCAAACCAAAAAACCTGAATTTCTCATTTTAAAGTTATCAGTCAGATATTTAGACAATTTTGAAACTTTTTTCCTAATTGTTTTTAATCAAGAAATTAGTCGAAACTGACCCTTTCCCATAAAATATTTCAGTCTTGACAAATCAACACTTCTGATGAAAAACATTTTGGAAAAACATTTCCAGCCAGCTCTAATCAACACTAAGGAGAGGGCTGCAGAAAAGTCAGAAAAAAAATAGATAATTTACAGTTTTTCTTGCTATATCAGTGATGGTCAAGGAACAGCTAAGACAGGGGTGGGCAAAATACGGCCCATGGAGCCAGCCCGTCTAACATCTCTGTCCGGCCTGCCATGACTAATATTTCTGTCCTTGCTGCTAAAAGTCCGGCAGCGCAGCGGGGCGCTCAGGCAAGCAGGCCCCACACTGCTCCTGGAAGTGGCTGGCTGGTGCTGGCATGTCTCTGCACGCCCCTGGCGGGTGGGAAGCGGTTCCGCATGCTGTCCCCGCCCTCACCACCATCCTCACAAATGCCATTGGCCAGAAACTGGCCAATGGGAACTGCAGAGGCAGTGCTTGCAGGCCCACTGCCCCCCTCCCCTCAAAGGGGCACACAGAGACGTACCAGCAGCCAGCCACTTCCGGGAGTGGCGTGGGGCCACGGCATGCAGGCAACCTGCCTGAGCCCTGCTGCACCGCCAGCCGGGAGCCAGCTGTAGTAAGCATCTCCCGGCCAGAGCCTGCACCTCGCACCCCCTCCCGCACCCCAACCACCTGGCCCAGGTCAGAACCCCCTCCTGCACCCAAACTCCCTCCCAGACCCTGCACCCCCTCCTGCACCCCAATTTCCTGCCCCAGCCCAAAGCCCTCTCCTGCACCAAACTCCCTCCCAGAGCCCACACCCCTCACCCTCTCCTGCACCCCAAGATTCTGCACCAGCCCGGAGCTCCCTCCTGCACCCAAACTCCCTCTCAGACTCCGCACCCCCTCCTGCACCCTCAGTTTTTGCACAAATTATTTTATTACGTGACACTGCAGTGGAGGGATAGAATTTAAAAATTTCATTAATATAGTAGAAATGTGCGGCCCGTGACAACTTACCAAAATTCGTGGGTGGCCCCCCACTGCAAAAATTATTGCCCACCCTTGAGCTAAGAGAATTCAGAAAGTGCTTGGAAAGGTCAGGAGTGCATCATGCAAAACAGGGAAGACATTTGAAACTGGGGGGGGCAATTGGGGGCATAGGGAACTGCTAAACAAAGGGCTAACCAAAGACTTACCTATTTTTCTTGCTGTACTTGGGAGGGCCAGAAGCAGCCAATGGAGCATTTAGGACAAATTTTACTCCAACACCTTTCAATGTTGCTCAGGTGAGGTACCTTCAGACATTTCCAACATTGGTTTGTATGGTTAATATTGGTTTTGCTGTTCAATATTTTAAATACGAAGGCCTTGCATTATATCACCCTCATTCTCAAAAGCAAAACCTCTCATTCTACAACTGTGATTCTTATTGCTACATTAGGGGATTGCTGTAGATAACATTGTGCTTGTCATTCCGTTTCCGGTAATTTATTTTCTACAAAGTTATTATCTTTAATGACTCTCTATGTGTGTTTTACCAGAAACCCAAAAGAGATTCTCACTTGGTAAACAAATATTCTACAGCATTTCCATTTGTATTTAAAGTATCTGTTGATAACACTTACCAAGATTTAGAAGTGTAAAAAGAAAGAAAACATTCACACATTCAAATATTTCAATAAAGAGACACTTCATAAAGGTAATTAAGTCAGTCTTTTAACATAGTTCTAAGGATTAACAACACATAAAAGAAAGAGGACAAAATTAAGTGATAATGTCTTACCAAATCAAGCAGATTCACAATTTTTGATGATGCCTTATAGAGCAAATCAACAAGCTTTTGATAATAAAGTCTGATTTCCAGGCAAATGATGTGGGACTTATCTGTGCTAGGAAAGAGAGTATCATGTTTTAAACTTAAAATATAGAAAATATTTCTAGTAATCTGACATAATTAATCAGCTGTGAATATTATACCTGCATTTTAAAAAATGCATTTACTCAACAACCACTCGGTTCAGATGATGCACGCTATCTTTAATGAACCACTATTGTACCAAAATGAGAGTTTCCACATTGCCCTTTGCACCAGTTTAAATATATTGGTTTACATCAATTCAAGCTAAATTAGTGTAACTTTCTAAAGTAGACAAGCCCTTGATTTGTACCCAAGACTTTACTAGTTCCCAGAACTGAAGTGTGACACTATTCTTGCTGCCTCACTAGTTTATATTTTGATGTCACTAGAATTATTAAATCATAAAAATATTAAAATGGAAATGATCATATACTTAGACAAACTACTGCTTCTGTAGGAAGAGTTTTCATATAACTCCTTTCAGTGATTAGTAGCAAACTTTAAAAAAAATAGCAAAAAAGAGAAGTAACATCAATCTTAAAGTCATTAGAGAAAAACATATTGCTGTATTTTAACCTACATGAGGGAAAAATGAAAGAAATGTAGAATAGTCAAATTGGCATGGTATGACAATACGCTGCAAATATTTTCCTAATGGTAAATCATCATGATTGCTGTTTTCTTACAGAAACATGTATTTTTAATTAACACATGAAAAAAATGAGGCATAGTAAAGAAAGGACACTGCTAAAGATGCTAGGCAACATTTTCAAAAGCACCTAAGTGACTTAGATGCCTAAGGGCTTCTCTATACACAAAAGTTGTTCCGCTTTAACTCTACCTTGATAAAGTGGTACAGCCCTCCACCTCCCCAGCATGGGGGCAGTTATACTGGTATAATTATAGATGGCAAGGGAAGGGGAATAAGCAATAGCAGTATAAGGCACCTATACACTGATATACCTGCATCCACACAAGGAATTGTACGGATATAACCACTTCAGTAAAAAATTACATCCCTAACTGAAATAGTTATACCAGTACAAACAGACTGTAGACCAAGCCAAAGTCCCATTTTCAAAAGTGACTTTACCACTTCAGAGACTATGTCCCACTGACTAGAGGTGCTGAGACCCAGAAATCAAGTAAGGAGCTAAATACTTCTGTAGATTAGAGCCTAAGTGCCTACCTTACTTTTGAAAATGGGACTTGAGCATAAACAAAAAAACTACGGAAATGCATCCTAGATGGAACTACTATAAGGAGGATGCATAAGTGGTTGGAAAACCATTCCCTGAGAATAGTTATCTGTGGTTCAGTCATGCTGGAAGGGCATAACGAGTGAGGAACCGCAGAGATCAGTTCTGGGTCCGGTTCTGATCAATGTCTTCATCAATGATTTAGATAATGGCATAGAGAATACACTTTAAAAGTTTGTGGACGATACCAACCTGGGAGGGGTTGTAAGTGCTTTGGAAAATAGGATTATAATTCAAAACGATCTGGACAAACTGGAGAAATGGTCTGAAGTAAATAGGATGAAATTCAACAAGTACAAGTGCAAAGTACTCCACTAAGGAAGGAACAATCAGTTGCACACATACAAAATGGGAAATGACTGCCTAGGAAGGAGTACTGCGGAAAGGGATCTGGGGATCATAGTGGACCACAAGCTAAATATGAGTCAACAGTGTAACACTCCTGGAAAAAAAAGTGAACAAAAATTATTAAAGGTCTAGAAAACATGACCTATGAAGGAAGATTGAAAAAAATTGGGTTTGTTTAGCCTAGAAAAGAGAAGACTGAGAGGACACACAATAATAGTTTTCAAGTACATAAAAGGTTGTTATAAGGAGGAGGGGAAAAAATTGTTCTTCTTAACCTCTGAGGATAGGACAAGAAGCAATGAGCTTAAATTGCAGCAAGGTGAGGTTAGGCTGAACATTATGAAAAACTTCCTAACTGCCAGGGTGGTTAAGCACTGGAATAAATTGCCTAAGGAGGTTGTGGAATCTCCATCACTGGAGATTTTTAAGAGCAGGTTAAACTAACACCTGTCAGGGATGGTCTAGATACTTAGTCCTGACATGAGTGCAGGGGACTGGACTAGATGACCTCTTGAGGTCCCTTCCAGTCCTATGATTCTGTAAGTCATTCAGGCCTTTTTGTAAATTTTACCCGCTACCTTTGGAAAACACATGTATTCCTGTCTAGGCTTAAACATCAGAGAAGCAAGTGTCTGCTAAAATAGCATGTGATTTTAAAAATTACATGTTCCATTGATCTAATTACAGTAGTAAACAGCAGTTTAACTGAAGTCCCCAGAATAACAACATTCTACCCTCTTGCCAACATGTATGGCGGTGATATGTACCAGAAAAATACACTAAGATGTAGGAAACAACCTGCATACGCAAAACACAATCCTATAACCTAAAAGTCACTGGACTCCTTTCTTTTCTTGCTTCTTTCCAATCTATTTCCTTTCAGTATTTTTGTTTCTTTTGTCTATGTTTCTTTTTTTGTCTTATGTTGCTTGTATTCTCAAATCATGCATGGCAGTGATTTCATCTTCCCCTTCCTATCCCCCTGCTTCCTTATGTTGTTCTCTTGCTATGCACCACAAAGTGAAATCTACAAAGAAGCATATTATAGCACATATGGCTCACTCTGAATAAATGAATGGAAGAACTACACAAGGAGAGAAATATGTCTGATCACTGCATTGATGATGTATTTAAATGCATATTTTAAAAAGAAATTGCTGGGACTGAATTAGGTGCCCCATTTTGAAGGTTCCATGCAGAAATAGGGCACACAATGAAAAGTACCTAGTGATCCTAACAAGAAAACATCAAGCCCTGACTTACCACGTCGAACACTGCAAGCATAAAAAAAACGAGGAGTCCTTGTGAGTCCTTAGAGACTAACACATCTATTTGGGCATACGCTTTCGTGGGCTATAACCCACTTCATCACATGCATGGAATGGAAAATACAGCAGGCCGGTATAAATACACAGCACATGAAAAAATGGGAGTTGCCTTATGTCACCCATTTCCCAGTGGACAAGAAGGAGTGAATATCAACTGAGGGGAAATTACTTTTTGAAGTGCTAACAAGGCCAATTCAACCATGGTGGATGTGGCCTATTCACAACAGTTGACAAGAATGTGCGAGTATCAACAGAGGGGGAAAAAATTGTAATGACCCAGCCACTCGCAGTCTTTATTCAGGCCTAATTTGATGGTGTCAAGTTTGCAAATTAATTCCAGCTCTGCAGTTTCTCACTGAAGTCTGTTTTTGAAGTTTTTTTATTGAAGAATTGCCACTTTTAAGTCTGTTATTGAGTGTCCAGGGAGACTGAAGTGCTCTTCTACTGGTTTTTGAATGTTACAATTCTTGATGTCTGATTTGTGTCCATTTATTCTTTTGTGTAGAGACTGTCCAATGTACATGGCAGAGGGGCATTGCTGGCACATGATGACATATATCACATTGGTAGATGTGCAGGTGAACAAGCCCTGATGGTGTGGCTGATGTGGTTAGGTCCTACGATGGTGTCCCTTTAATAGATATGCAGACAGAATTGGCAACATGGTTTGTTGCAGGGATTGGTTCCTGGGTTAGTGCAAGCATAGGAATTCACTAGCATAATACAGATATATAATTTATTTTTCATTAATTGACAAGCTAAATCTTTGACAACATTAAGATATCTTAATGCTAAACCCCATGACTGACATGAGTCAACCTAGAAATAAGTAAGAAAGATACATCATCTTTCCTCACTGTGATCTAACCAATACGTAAGGAACATCAAGTGCTTACACTGGGACGGAGGATGAATACGTGATATGTAAATTAAAAATGGCAGGACAAATTACAAGCACTGCCAAGAGTATAAAAAGTTGTTATAAGGAGGAGGGAGGTAAACTGTTCTCATTAACCTCTGAGGATAGGACAAGAAGCAATGGGCTTAAATTATAGCAAGGGCGGTTTAGGTTGGACATTAAGAAAAACTTCCTAACTGTCAGGATAGTTAAGTACTGGAATAAATTGCCTAGGCACGATGTGGAATCTCCATCATTGGAGATTTTTAAAAGCAGGTTAGACAAACACTTGTCAGAGATGGCCTAGATCAGAGGTTCTGAACCAGGGGTTCGGAGCCCTCTGGGGGGCCACAAGCAGGTTTCAGGGGGTCCTCCAAAATAAACATTAGACTCGTGGGGGCCCAGGGCAGAAAACTGAAGCCCAAGCCCCACCGTGCAAGGCTAATGCGGAAGCCCGAGGAACTTTGCTTCATGGGAACCTCTGTGGCTTGCGGCCCCAGGCAGTTGCCCTGCTGGCTATTCCCTAACACCAAGTTAAAAAATACACCACTGAGTGACAAGTTTCGCCAGCACAAGCGGTAGCGTGTATAGCGCTATGTCAGGGGGAGAGCTCCTGCCAACATAGCTACTGCTGCTCACTAATATGGTTTTAGGTCAACAGGAGAGCTCTCTCCCATCAGCACAGAACAGCTACACACACAATCTTACAGCAGCACTAGAAAAAGTTCTCTTCAGCCACTTCAGGCCTGGGGCTGTCACACATCCAGCTCAGGTAGAGAGGAGGGTTACAGCAGGAGTTTATAGTGAGTGCCACTGTAAATTCCCTAGTGTAGACAGGGCCTTAGTATGCACCGACCTGTGCAATGACTAGCCCAGACCAGCCCTGCGCTTGCATCTCAAGGCACTACCATAAAATGAATAACAAAGGACAGTCATGCTGGCTAGCAGTTTGAAGAGTCGCTGGTCCACTGGGGCAGCTGAACTTCCCCCTCATAAGCCCCAGAATCAGAATGCCCAGGGAACAGGCCCACCTCACCCTTCCCAGAGACCCCTTTGGGGCAGCTCTGCTGCTGGAGCAATGAGAGAGGTAACCCCCAACAAGCCCTGCTGCTGACTGGGCTCCAGACCTTCTGCCCCCTTCGCCTAGAGCTGGAAGCTACCCACAAAGCCAAAGCCGGCACCCGCCCAGCGCTCCGTACACACCATAGGAGACGCCTGCAGGGCCTCAGGCCCACGCCCTAGTCTAGCACCCGCCTGAGGCCTACCCCACTGCATTGTGGGATATAACGCCTCTCCTTGGCGCCAAGCTCCCCCCCGCGCGGTGCATGGTGGGATATACCCCTCCTCTCTACCCGGGCCGGATCTTCTTTGTGTGGACTCCTCACCGGATGTCTGAGGGCCCCAGGCCTGCAGCGACTGAAGGGAACTTTTGCGAGCGCGGTGAACGTTTATTCCTAGGTTATAAGAGTCATTACCCGGGGTGGCTTCTCGAGGCCGAGGACTGCGCGGCTGGAATTAGTGGGGCTTCCAAACTGCGGCTGCTAAGGGGCGGACTCCTTTTCTTCAGCGGCGCATGCGCCTTGGAGGTGGAACGGCCCCCCCTGTGTACCATTGAACGCTGAGTGTTGCGAGTCGGGGGGGGGGCAAGCGCTGCGTGGGCCGTGCTAGAATCCTTGCGCCTGTGGGGCCGCGCGAGGGAAGCGGCAGTCGCCATTTTGAAGCGGTTGTAGGGAGGCGGCGTGTGTAGCTGCTCCTGAGCGTCCGGCCCGTTCCCGCCGCTTACTTACCCGTTTACTGTCCCAGCTTCGGCTCGTCACCGCCGCAGCCATTGCCGACCCTGCCATGTCCGGAGGGGGCGTGATCCGCGGCCCAGCCGGTAACAACGACTGCCGCATCTACGTGGGGAACCTGCCGCCCGACATCCGCACCAAGGACATCGAGGACGTGTTCTACAAGTACGGGGCCATCCGCGACATCGACCTCAAGAACCGCCGCGGCGGGCCGCCCTTCGCCTTCGTGGAGTTCGAGGACCCCAGGTGAGGCCTCGCCCGAGGACTCCCAGTGAGACCCGCCGCCACCTCCGCGGTGCTTGCCTCCGGGAGCGGGGCCGTTTCCCGAGCCGGGGTACCTCGCCTCCTCCATGGCGGGCAGATCGAGGAGTCCTCAGGGGCCGCTCTTGAGTTCCAGGCTTCCCGTCGGGGAACCGCTTCGTTGCCGAGATATCGCTACGTCTCCTCCCCGGTGGGGGTGGGGGGAGCTGCTTCCCTGTCGAGACACCGCTACATCCTCCCCTCCTCCTGGTGGGGGACGGGGACACACTGGCCTGCCAAAACCCCGCTGCATCCCGCTCCGTCCTGGGGGCACCACTCCCCAGCCCCAGGGTCATGCCATACAGACAGCGCTCCTGCTGGAGGGCCCGGGGTCAGATCCTCCTCCCCATCTCTGCCTAGACCTTTCTCCAGCGCCCTCGGTGGGCACCGCCCGGCCTTCACTTTGCCGTGCTCTCCCCTCAGGTGACTGTCTGCCTCGGCCATGCTGCAGCAGCTTATCGCAGAGGGGGACGAGGTGAGCTGGGGCTCAGCCTCAGCTGTTCGGGGCGGGGCTACATGGTCAGCCTGCTGGTTAGGGCGGGAAAATGGCTGCAAGGGAACAAAGGGAGGGAGGAGGTGCGTTGTCCGGCCTGTGCCTCTGCAGTGCGGTGTGGCTGGGCCTCTGCTCACTCACCCTTCTCTTGCAGGGATGCGGAGGACGCGGTGTACGGAAGGGATGGGTACGATTATGATGGATATCGTCTGAGGGTGGAGTTTCCCCGAAGCGGCAGAGGCACGGGCAGAGGAGGTGGCGGAGGTGGAGGTGGTGGGGCCCCCAGGGGCAGGTATGGCCCCCCGTCCCGGCGATCTGAGTATCGAGTGATAGTTTCCGGTAAGTTGCTTAATACTCTTGGTTTGCTCAGGATTATGAGATCGATTCTTATCAGTTCAGATGTGGCATGTTAACAGTCATTCCTTAATGGCAAAGGATGCTACACTTGTCAATTAGCTATATTGTATTTTGGTATTGTGTGTAATTATTTGTTTAGCATTGTGCTATGCAGCCTCTAAGGAGCATAATAGTAACATTTTTGTATAGGGTGCATATTATATGGGTTCCTGCTGGAAGACATTCTCTCAACTACAGTAGTCAATTCCTTTACCTGGCAGTGGGAGGTGATGCATTGTAAATGGAAAGTAAATAATAAAAGTTTGTATTTGAAGTAATCTGTAATCTGCTTTTTGTTCAGGACTGCCTCCAAGTGGAAGTTGGCAGGATTTAAAGGATCACATGCGTGAAGCAGGTGATGTATGTTATGCTGATGTTTTCCGAGATGGAACTGGTGTCGTGGAGTTTGTACGGAAAGAAGATATGACCTACGCAGTGCGAAAACTGGATAACACTAAATTTAGATCTCATGAGGTAGGTTTCATGCTTTTTGGGGGGCCAGAATTGGATACACAGGGCTTAACAATAGGATTTGAAGGTAAGGACATGAAGTCTCTACTATACTAACATGCAGGTAGCTGAGTCTTTTACAATAAGATTCTCATTTAGAGTTTTGAGATCTATCTCTGTGTTTTTATATCAATGTAATCAGTGTATCAGCATGCCTGAAAAGATAGCTAAAAATCTTAGACCTTTCAATCGAAAGTTCTGTCTATTTAATAGGGAGAAACTGCCTACATCCGTGTTAAAGTTGATGGCCCAAGAAGTCCAAGCTATGGAAGATCTCGGTCACGCAGCCGTAGTCGTAGCAGAAGCCGTAGTCGAAGCAACAGCAGAAGCCGCAGTTATTCCCCAAGAAGAAGCAGAGGATCTCCACGCTACTCTCCCCGTCACAGCAGATCCCGTTCTCGTACATAAATGATTAGTGATGCTCTCTTTTTGTAGAACCCCATGTTGTACACAGTTTTCCTTTACTCAGTACAGTCTTTAATTTTTTAATTCAAACTGTTTTATTCAAATTGGCTGAAGTGTTGAATTGCATTCTTGTGTAATATCCCTAGTGAGTATTTGCTCCTTAACATCAACATTCCCCTCATGTCTTTGGTAAATTGTATTTTAATTGATGTTATAGCCAGGATTGTTTAAATTTAGTTAAAGTTAACTACCCACACTTTGCAGACTGTGGTATTGCTGTGTAAATGTCTCAGTGTTCAGCTATGGTTTATACGAGCTGGGGATGTTGGGATGTTTGTGGTTAACTTGTTTCTTCTGGGGGATCTTATATTTTATCTTGCCTTTTCATGTGTCTTTCTGTAGACATATCTGAAGAGATGGATTAAGAATGCTTTGGATTAAAGGATTGTGGAGCACATGTCAATCATTTTAGGATTGTCAAAAGGAGGATTGAGGAGGATCAGATCAATAATGGAGGCAATGGTATGACTCCAAGTGCTATTGTCACAGATGAAATTGGCAGTATTGACCTTATACCATGGTTAAATAAGTATATACATACGCCTTATCTGGTAACTTTTACAGGCATGTTTTAGTTACTGTAGACTACAATTGCTCTTTTCTTTAAAACCATGTTGGCAATTGTGGCTAAATTACTTGCTTTTGTATCTCTATTCCATTCTAGTTTAAAAAAAAAAAATCAGGGAGGGTGGAGTATACTGGTTCAGTTTGTCATGCTGCATTCAGTTACAAATGTTAATATGACGTAGTGCTGGTACATTTGTAGATGTAGGGAATCTTGAAACCAGATAGAGTATAATATCAATACTGCTAAAATCTGCATGTCCTCTGTGTGACTGATACAGCGTTGCTATTACATTTTTTTAAGTATCAGAATGAAAACAAAATATAGAAAACTTGGCTGGGAATAATTCCTTAAATCTCAACCCTTCCCCTTCAGACTAATTCACAGTTGACTCACTAATATGTTTGAAAACTTCAGTTAGTTAATTTTGTTACCTTCCAGATGGGAATACTAGCTTTAGTTTAGACATATAGTAAGTGGATGGCTTTAGTGATAAACTTTTCCAATATCAAAAAAAATTTTTGCAACCACAAAACCTGTAATACACCTTACAAGCAGTGACTATGTTGGCCTTATCAGTTGACATATGTAAATATTACAATGTTTTCTCCAAATAATTAATATTCCTAAAATTTATCTGAGCATCACCATTCAAAAGTTTGTTTTGGGGAATTGATAGTTATTAATGTACATCTCTTATTAATTGATGGCAAACATAACTAATCATTCCCCAGAATCCTATTTTTTCATTACAGTATCTAACTTTTTGCCTCCTCTTTTTTGGTTTTGCTGGTTATAAAGGTTTGGATTGGAGAGGGCTCACTGGATCCCAATCCTTGGAGCTGGATCATTGGATTCAAATCATAATGTGGATAGGATAGGGAGGCTGAATTACAAGGATTCATGGAGCGGGATCAAATTACCAGGAACATAGGAGTGGATTCCTGCCCCAACCAAACCGCATTCGTGTGGATTTTTTTATTCAACTCAATTGGCTATTCCAAAGATTTTTTTTCCTATTTTTGACGATTGGAGCCCTTAAGATGCACGATGGATTTTTTTTTTTCCATTTTTTTTTTTCATTTTTTTTTGGTAAAAGGAGCAAAGCGAGGACCTGGAGAGGTACGCTGGAGCAATCTCCTTGGAAGGATTCAGCACGAGTAGATGGTAAACATTAAAGGGGAAAAGGGGGGTTTGTTTAAAAAAAAAAAAAATCAGTCATTTCTCTAAATTTAAAGATAAATTGGAGTTAAAGATTAAGTAGGTTTTCAATTGGCTTACTGCCTTTTTTTTCTTTGACAAATAAAATTTTAAAAAAAAATTGCATGGTTGTTCTCATTTGTCAAATGTAAGAATCTTAAGGTAGTCATCAAAGTCCTGCCACAATGAACTACAATAAGACTAAAGGTTACACTTAACAGTATTCAGACAAAGGGGCTTTTATTTTGAGTTCCATAAAGGTCCATTTTTTCACACCAACTCTTAATGTTAATAGTTGAGGTTTTAAGCAGGTCGCTTCTTTTTAACTTTTAGGATTATATAGAGGATTTCTTAATTTGAAGAGAATACTGTGACGCACATTTTATAGAAAATGTTTTGATCAGTCACTCTTAACTGATCAAGCTCACTGAAATTTTTTTCTTTTAAAATGAAGACAACCAAGGTTGGAATGGTATGGTAAGATTTTTAATGTTATAAACTGTTGTATCTGTTCTTGCTATTGTAATCTGATAGTTTATTGCCTCTAAAGCATCAATATCTCGCAAAATGGACATAGATTAGTTATTGAGGGTATACAGGAAAAAAGCACAAGTTTTAGCCAAGTTAACAAAACTTCTTAGCAACAACTTTTTAAAGACAAAAGATGTAGACAGACTTTTTTAGGGGACCATGCTATAAAGAGCGAGCTTGGTTGTAATCCTGATGAAAGTAAATAACTATATGGTAGGAAGGACTAAAATATGCTTCAGACTGTTAAAATAAAATGCTAAGTAGTTTAGATAATTGGGGAATTACAAAAATTCAACTGGACTTCATATATAATTAATATGTGTGAAGATTAAATATTATAGGTTGTGAAGAAGAAATCCCGAGAGGGTTAAACTTGTAATTAAACCATGATTGTATTGTAGGCTGTTGAGTAACGACGCGTGGGTCTGTTATTTAGCTCCAGGCTAAGTCCTTTTAATTCCCACGGTGTGTCATTGTAGAACACACTCTTTGGTTTATCCGAATGTGACATTAAACTTTTCTAAATGCCTATAAAACATATAGCCATGCATCATCAGAACTAGTTCGCAGCCAAATTTATCTCCTTTTAAAACGTGCTATTACTTAAATTTAAATATAAATACACCATACACTATCAATAAAATCACTATATAAAAGCCATTGTGAAATGGAGTGCTGAGAGTAAGCAAGAGCAGGGGTGCAATATGTAAGATGTAATCACTGAGTAAAGATCAGAATGCTTACAGGATTAAGGTTAAATAGGATGCCAAAATAGATTTACCTAGTCTGATTTATAACCCTTGCACAGATGGGTTTCATAACCAACACTGACAGGAGAGCTGTCATACTATTAATTTTAAACAGACTAATGGTGTAAATATATGTTAAGATTTGATTCCCTTCAGAGGTGGTTGTAGGTTGTTTCCGGATGGCAGGGAGGGCTAGCATCCAGACTGGAGTGATCAAGATGACAAGTACATTGCATTTCAAGGTGAGAATCTAGATTTGTATTCCATTAAATAGACTTGTGGGCACTGTTCTAATATGAAATTACTGGCATCAATGACGTTACTTTGTAAAGTGTAATGTGTGTGCTTCACAAATGTGGCACAATCTATATTGCATAAATGAGACTGGAATTTCTACTTGCTTATAGATACTGTTGTAGAGCTTCTCAGATGACAATGAGTAAAAGCATCCATGTGGGAGGGGGATATAAATTCAAGTAGAAAGCATATCACAATTGGGGTTTAAAAACTTTATATAGTAGTCCTATATTGGGGTGCAAGAGAGAGCAACATTACAAGTAATTTTCATATACTTCTAAAGGAAGTTGGGGGAGCGGGGATGCTTACTAGTGGAAGTACGGAATGATGGCAGCCCAGGAATGCTGTCATGATGTGTGACAGTACAGCCCATTGTCCTTTGGCAGAGCTTTGTGCTAGAGAATGGCATGAGGTTAATCCTGATAGGGAAGCTGACATTTTTAAAGGGCTATTTTAAAAAAGAAATCTGCCAAGAAGTTGAAAGTGACCTGACTTGCACTTCCCAGCAGTCTGAAAATTTGACAGGTAAGCAATATGTCTGAATAAATATACAGTGAGTTTTACAGTACATACCGGAAACCCATATTTTAAACTGCTTCATGTGCAATTAAGCTATAGATGTTAAATACTTGAAAATCATTTGCTTCCAGGGTTATCTCAAAGTGGTTTGCAATCAAAGTACACTTAGCCCTAGTGAAAGACAACCACCATGGAATGGAGGGCAGATGTGTACTGGCACCCTCTATGCCAGGAGGAGGAGGAGGACTTATTGGCCTGTTGGCTTAATATAAACACCTGCGCTTTAAAAAAATATTGCCATGGGCTTTTTTAGGTCCATGTGAAGCAGACAATACTTTCCTTGAAGAATCGCTCAACAGCGTACTTCTAAAAGGCTGGAGGATGTTAACCTCTCCTAGTTTAAACAGAACAGCAGCATCTATTTTTTCATATATAAACTTAAATAGAAAGAAATGGAATAATTCTGAAGATGTTTCTTTCTTTTCTGCTGACTGCTGAAGAAAGATGATTCAATGGATTGGGTACAGGACATGGCAACTGGTGTTCCCTATTCCTGTGTCTTCCATAAGTTTCCTATGTGGTAGTGGGCAAATCATTCTAATTTCCATTTTCTTTGTAACATGGAGACAATATGTACCTCACTACAGTGTTGAGGCACTGATTGTTGTAAAGCACTTTGAGATCCTGAAATAAAATTGTTATAATGCAACATACTCTTTTCTTTCAATATTTCAAAAAGGATGTTTTCCAATCTCTTCTACAATTCTTTTAGCCAAAATACACAACTAATGGACTACAGTGGCTTACTGACCTACAATTAGAGAAGGGTTTAAACTCTTAGAGCAAGGAAAAGTGTTATATGGAAATCTGCCCTTTTTTAAAAACTGGGGTTGATGCTACTGCAATATGGACTCTACCACTGCTGGTTGGAAAATGTGGAGTCATTCCTCTTCCTCCCACCCCCATCCTCCAATACCAGACAGGAAAAAATCAGCTTCTTTGGTGAAAAATTTAACACTGAGAACTTTATAAATCTTTCACAAAAAACTTCCTCATTTCAGTTTGAAACCGAACATTTCAGCTACAGTGCCTCGTGGATTTGTAGTTCAGGTGCCTAATGTCCTCGGTCTTCTCTGAGCTGGGCACTTTCTAGCCAGACATCATCTCCAGTGTTGCACCATGGCTGCATCTCATGCTGAATCACAGTGGTGCATCATGAGAATCCCTGCCTGAGGTGTATCAACAGAGTTGTAGCCTGTGTGGTGGGGAACCTGACCCATAAAGGAGAATGGAGGCATGCGGCACCATGACAATATTTCCCATTTAAAATTCTTCGAGTGTTTTTCTAAAAGTCAGAATTTCCTCTGGAAAGCCCTTCTGGAGGGGGGAAAAATGTTGATTCCACAAAAATTGGCAAGTGAGCCTATCTAAAAGCATTCATGCCATTCAATGCAAACTACTTACGGGTCTCTTTTGTCTGACATGGTGAGATCACACTTGAAAGTTTTTCATCCTGGTTGAAATAAAACTTCTGGGTGGACTTGCCAAATGAACTGATAAGATTAGACTTCATTTTAAAATGATTAATAAAATATTGGTTCTCTTTTCTGATGTGTGTAACTAGAAAAGCAACATGACTGAGAATGGATCCCTATCCTTTTACATGCTGTTTGTATTCTGTAGTATTTTTGCTCACTGATACAATTTTGGTTGATTGCATTTCTTGTAGTAGAACATCCAAGTGTTGGTTGCCACTAGGAACATAAAAGTCTTTGAGTTTCAGAAGAGACTTAATCATGGATGCTTCATCAATTAATTTCCCCCACCCCCTTCAAATCTGCATTCCTCAATTGTCTGACTTCCTGCAATTTAATTTACATCTCAGTGCAGAGTTAAGTGGTGGTACATGTTTCATGCCCCCTACTTGCCCCAACTTAGTTATTTCCCTGTTCCATAGGTTTTTGTCTTGATCAAATTTATCCACCCTCTAATAAATCTGAAACTAAATGGTTCTTCACTAATATTGCTGATATGATTATTGGTTTTGAATCTTTTGGGGAAAATGCCAAATTACTTTAATGTATCCCTGAATCTTGCTTGGTAATAGCTTGTTTAGACTTGTCACTCACAAACTACTTTGTGGATAAGTCATAGATAGATTTGATACTTGTAGTGTCCACTGTATTCAGTGCAGAACATCCCTAGTCATATTATCTAAATTGAGTAGTGTAATTAAAACAGTCTTTGGTTTCGTAGCTTTACGTTTTAACTAACACAATGAAAATAGAAAATATACACTTCCAACCAAACATACTTATGTTCATTCCAGTTAACTCGCAACCTAAATTAACTTCAATTTAAAATATAATTTGTTTAAAATTGACAATAACTATGCATACAGTTACGAATGAATTAGTTGAAGGCCAAGTTCTGTGCACATGAACCAACTAATATTTGCAACATTCCCTCTTAAATAGGTATGCCAATTCATAGATGAGGAACAGAACAGGTTAAGTGATGTGCTGCTTACGCCAACACTGCAGAATTGGTTTGAAACTAGACAAGAAGTCTGAGTTATGATGTCATTACATAATTCACTATTCAACCACTACTCGAAGCAGAGTTTAATGTTTGAAACATCTTTAGTGCACAAAATCACAGCAGTGGCACTAACATATAGTCATTAAAAATTTGAGACTGGCATAGTTTGCATGAGTAATTACCTCTCCATTTTAATACTCTTACTTTGTCCTTTAACCCACTTTTATATTGGCAAGTGGTTTAGCTAAATCTTCAAGCTTCTGGTCCATCATAAAGTGAACAGTAAGTTTCCTGACATCCAGTCCAGTAACTTTATCTGCTAGACCTCATTGGTTTGAGTTCCAAGATTTTTGGTTCATCTCTATTTAATTGTAGTAGTTGCAGTTCTTCAGCATAGTTTTCTGTAAGTCTAGGCATTTTCTTTGTCAAATGACCTGATTGAACTTTGTCAGTTATTGATCATCTAGGTCAAATATTAAATCACTAAACAGGCACCAGTAAAAACATACTACTGTCACACGGTGGATTTTAACCTGTGTCCTTTTATCTTATTACCACTCTGATGTTTCCCTATTATAGCTGTGCACATCTGTACATTCTCTTGAAAAATGATGCAGTGTCTACTCAATTTATTTTTAAAGGACAAGTTGGACTGTGTAATCTTAAGTGCATTTTGAGCCTTTATCACAGGTCTGACAATTGTCACATAATTTTATGACATAAAATTAATTCCACATAGACTCTTCAGTGTTAATGTAAATAGAATAACTTGGCAAAAGAGGACAATGAGGAATACATTTTAGAAACAGGGCTTCAGGTCTCATGCCTCGTAACTCATCCCTGTAAATTGCACATTCGTTTACTATGACCTCACTCCCTTTTGCATGTTGTTGGAATTGTGTATGTCTTTGAGAATGTGGGGAAGAATGTTTATAAGGCTCTGAGTTTTGGATTATGGGCTACACACTTTGCTTCTAATCTCAGGTCTGCTTCTGACTCACTGTGTGGCCTTGCGTAGTTCTTTAGAATCATATGTGCTTTCTGCTAATCCCTGTGTACTGACTTGTGATTAACCATACAGGCTGCTAAACACATTAATTGACAAATGTGGATTATTCTGAAGAAAATTCCTTCATAAATGCCAAACAAATAAGTATTTACTTTCTGAGGGGGTTTTTCTTTTAATTTAAAGAAAAGGACAAAGAAAGTAGGGTAGTTAGAGTTCAGGAAGGGTAGAAAAACAAATGAAATCCTTCTTTGGACGGTAGAGCCATCTAGTGGGCAAGATCGGTGATACTCAAATAACTTTTTTAAAAGGTGTGGGTTTGTTCTGTTTTTTGCTGTTGTGTGATTTTAAAAAGACAACTTGAACTTGTTAGTGTTCTGTTTTATTACATTCTCTAAAATAGGAATGTGTGGGAAAAGTCAGGTTGATGGTAAGTTGCCACACTGTAATGGAAAGGTGTGTGTCTGAAATCTTAATGCATACAGCCTGTCAGCCGAGTGTATATTTGTTCGGGAGTTAAACAGATGTTAACAAAAGCAAACACCAATTTTAACAGTCACCCTAAAATCCTCCCCACAGCCTCTCAGCTTTCATTCTCTCATATCACGTTTCTAGTTCTTAAGTTGCTATTTGAGTTTTCCAGGGTAGCCAAGAAATGACTGACTAATGTAAAAAGTAAGTGGTGCTGTCTGGTGGGGGAAGATTTCCTTTATTAAGAGCTTTCTAAAACTAAAGAAATGGAAAAACTGACCAGAAGTCTCTTTTTATATGCTTCCCTAGGCAGAAGATATACTGGGAAAACAGCTAAATATTTTAATAAACATAACCCCACTACATAATACATAAATGTTAGTTTAGCTTCTGTGTCCATAGGGCAAGTGCTGTATCCAGCCATCCAGCAAATACTTTTACATCTGTGTTGTAGTTTGCCTCTAGTAGCTATAGCGGTTCTGCTGCTATTAAATAAAATGTTATCAGAAACTCCACGTTTATAATTCACTAAGAAAATACCTCTATCTGACCTTTAGAGACTACTTGTTCACTAAGGAACTAGATGGATTTATATACATATTTGTTTTCTTCAGCACAGCAATGCACTGGCTATTTTTTCCAAATACCCATCCTGCGTGTTCAACGATAGCTTTTACCCCAGAGTTCCCAGAACTCTTCTGTAGAATACTTGTCAGTGGTTTTCAGACTACTGCCTGGTCACATTATGCTGTCTGTCCTTATTACTAGATGAGAACAGAATAGGCCAGGGCTTCTCAAACTTCATTGCACCCTGACCCCTTTCTAACAACAAAAATTGCTGCCTGACCCCAGGATGGGGGGCGGGGACTGAAGCCTGAGCCCAAGGGCTTCAGCAAGTCTAAGCCAGCCCTGGTGATTCCATTAAAACGGGGTCACAACCCACAATTTGAGAACTGCTGGAATAGGGGATGAAATGAACAGCAAAAGGAAACAGTGCAAAAGGCAATCATAACTCTTTCAAAAAAGACAAACCGATTCTTGCATTAGAGCTTTGAAAAATTCTAAGGCCTCATAAACTTTACTTTTCTACAATGATGGTTAAAGTAGGGGGGTGACTCCCCCCTCACCCCCCCACCATTTCAGTTAAACCACCATAATGCAGACACTTTACAAGTGCAGATGTGCTTGTTCTGGTGCAACTTATTCTTCCCATATAAGAATATAGTACCCCACTCTGAACCCCTTTACAGCGGTATAACTATCCACAGGTAAGCTGGCCTGATGTAAGTAATTGAATAGGGAGGCTGTGGGGAAGAGGTCTGAGGGGGAACCCCCACACCACAGTAGGGGGGAGCGGCTGTACCACTGCAGCTAAAGTGACGCAACTTTTCTCCGTAGACAGATAATTGCTACAGTCGCCACTAAGCTGTTCCATGATTGGAAAGGAGGTTGTGAGATCACAAATGGGAGGGGAAGCGCTAAGAAGGGGAGCGAGTCCTGTTAATTGTGATTGAGGGTGGTTCACTAGACACTGCTACCATATGGTCTGCGCTGTAAAGAAACTCACCATAATCCTGTCAGATTCCTACTGTCTTCGACTCAGTGTATTTGAGACTCTGCTACTATTTATCATAAGAACCCTAGGAGGTATTTAACTTGGTATGATTTTTACTGTGCTGAGGGGGGAAGGG